TAGTGCTTGTTGAGGGATTCTCGTCTACGCGATTCAGTAGTTATTCCTCAACTTGCACCATTCGTGGTTGTCCAGGCCTCCCACTGTGCCCACCTCGAACTTCCTCCAAATGGCCCGTATCCCTGACTCTCTGGACCAGGTACACAAATCTGCGGGGCCTTGGATGATGTCGTCTAGGGAAACGATCTGCATACACTCGCGAAGCCTCTGTAGCATTTTGAAGACATTCGCCATAAATTAACAACATATCAACGAGTTCATTATTGGTGTATGAGTGTGCCATTATTATTATTTTTTTTTTTTGAAACGCAATCGATTATACGGGTTCGTTTACCTCTACACGCGTGACCGTAACCGTCGGTTGAAGGTTGCATACTGACCTGACACACTGACCCCGACCCAGTTCTGTCGTCGGGTTGAGCCAGTGACCTTGTACCACTCGGTGATGTCGTGGGTCGCGGCTGCAGGACGGCATTCAGATATTTTTGATGTTGCAGAGCCCTTTATCTCGGTTCCCTTAAGACATTGGTGTATATGGTACTAAGAAAAATTGCTTATGTTTTCAAGATCTACACGTCGTGTAAAGGAAAACCCCAACTTTGCGGACACCCTGTAGATAGCGCTGTTTATAAGGATCGATTAAAATGGACAATTCCTATAATCAATTTATGACAATTGAATATAAAGAAAAACTAATCGGTTGATCGACTTTTTTAACATCCCTACACCCAGTGTAAACTTCTAGTCCCGCTCAAGTCGGTTATAGATATAATTTCATACTTCGGATGTATTAAGCTTCTATGTCTGTTTCGCCCGTAAACGCTCAATTTACGCCCTGGATACATAACTGAGTATTAAGGAGTACCACAGGTGGATCTGGCAACGTTGCCTGGCGTCAGTCCCATGCCTCTCCGCGTTATCCGCATAATATTGAAATCTATTGGGACGTTTTTCCCGGGGATACTACAGCCTGTTGCACGTTCCATCGACATCGAGAGCTTAAATGGAAAACGGAACAGTTCAGAAGGGTAAACGGACACCAGTGGGATCATATAATCGGAACCGCCGTCGCGCAGAGAAAAACGATCCTCATAACTTCAGCCCACAATGTTTCAGTCCTCAAATAAACCCTCCTTAATGGATATTGTTGTTTGTTCGCGTTTCGATGGAACTGACATGAGGCCTTTATTTAGATAAATGGATTTACCCAAGGCGACGATTAAGGATAATTTGGGGTTTTATTGTTTCTGGGGTTTTCTGTTTATCATTACACCCAATTATAATGAATAACGTATGTCCTAAAACTTTTGGCACAAAATTAATTGGATTTAATTTTAACAAACACAAAATAATATCAAGTTGCCTTTGGAAACAAAAGTTTGTTTACTTACTTCACTGTCAGTTGACGTTCATTTATTTTGAAGTTTTCGCTTTAAGATGTATAAATTAGAAATAAAAAAGGTATCTACAATCTGAAATCTGTCGAATATTCCAGAATGAAAACATTTCACGTAGAACCATTTATCGAACAATAGCGGAGAGCGAGCAGGGAATACCATGTCTTGGGCCCGTATCGTCAGTCGTCCCTACAATTGTAGGGCGCGTTTATGGCCTCCTTGATTGTCATACTCCTTTATCTCCCTCAAAAATTTCTAGATTACACTTGTCCCGTGTCAGCGTCAGCGCTCTCCTATTGTGAAGATATGTTTTCCTTTTAAATTGTAGGAAATTTCAGGCTGATAAAACATGATATAACTCAAAAGCAAGCACAATTTGATGCAAATAGATGTTTGTGACATAACCTCAAAATAGAGCACTGACATGGAAAAATAGAAAACTATGACAATCAAGGAGGCCATAAAGGCGCCCTACAATTGTAGGGACGACTGACGATACGGGCCTTAATCTCCCAAAAAGTGGAGGACCACGAGCATTTACTGCACAGAGGTCAGAGAGATTGGTGAGAAGAGCAAAAAATCAGGTTAGAATGACCGACAAGGAGACTGCCCCTTGAATAAAGATCTTCTAAGAGTACGATATCGTTGGAATTGAGGAGGAATGGTCTTAAATATCGAGACTCTTAAGCGCAACTCCTACCAAGATGCTGTCGTCAGCTTTTACAATGTAAAAGTCATAATTTTATATGACGCAAAGTATTTCACTTCGAGTAATTTTGATATAAAGGAAAACGACGGATTTTATAAGGACAACGTAGAGGAATGCCCTGACAATGTTAGATACAAAGCAAAATTTGCAGATAAGATGCTTGTCTGGTGTGCAATTTATAACAAGGGTGTATCCAAACCTTTTGTGGGAAGAGTGAAGCTTTAAACAGTCAGAGCTATATTTATAATTGCCTTTCCAAATTGCTTCAGTTTGTCCACGAACATCATGCTTAAGACCATATCATGTTTTGACCAGACCTAGCATCATGCCATTACTCAAGAGATACCGAAAACTGGCATCGACAACACAACATACCTTTTGTTCCCAAAAACCATAATCCTCCAAAATTGTCGCAGGCTCGCAATAAAGGATTTTTGGGCTTTAATGTCTAGGAAGGTTTATCATGAGGCGGGGAAGTCCAAGATGAAGAACAATTAAGATCGGCGAATTTACGAAAAACTGAGAGAACTTGATCTGAATTCCGTCCAGGACCTCATGAGAGCCATTCGAAGAAAGTTGCGTCTGGTAGATCACATAATTCGATAGTTTAGTTTAGTTAAGTATTGAGTTGTAATTTATAATAACTAGTTAGTGTTTAAATAGATTTATTCATTAAAAAAAATCCGATAAATATATTGTGCCAAAACTTTTAGGAAATACGTTAATTTAGTTGTTGGCCAGGCAACTATACTAGTAAGGCCAGGTGCTTTGTTGCAACGTCTAAAGCATTTCCTTCATTTTCCACTGGCCGTCAAATGAAACCACAAAAGTGGAATTGAAGTATTCACTGACGTTTCGGATGGTACAAACAATGGTGGCGGATATCTCAGTGATTTTTCAATGTTATATCTGTGTTTCCATTCGGCGGCGGCCAGTAAAGCATGGATGCTGATCAGCAAGATCGAATATCGATGTTCTCCATCACGAACTTATTGATTTGATAGTCGCCTAGTTATTTGAGCATCTGGTTATTTGTTTCTTGGGCACTTGTGTATACTGAAGACGCGATACGTAGGACAATATTCCTGCTTGGAGTACAGAGGAGTATCCCTTGAAAGGAAGTCAGAGTCTTGTTTGGAGTCCAAAGATCCTGAGGAAAATTGAATCACGACAACAACATACATAATAACATTTTACATGAATTTTATTTTATAGATGACTTATAGTTTCAGTAAAAATCACATAAAAAAGGTCAATCAAACGAAATCTTGACATAAACACTTCCGTGAATACAGATCATAAAATCTTTATTACTTTCCTCGCTAAGCAAAAACTAACACATAAAGCTCTAACATACTACGAGCACAAGCGCGGGAGTTTAATGCACTTACAGTTTCTAACTCCGTAACTAATTATCTTCTGTACTTGGGTTTGGTAAAACAATTTCTTGTGTAACTTTGTGCTTGCAATAAAGTTTCATTCGAATAAGGTAGTGTTTTCCAATCTGAATATGTGTATCTTAAGGTTACATTCAATGATACAACAGACGAAAAGTGTGGAAAAAGTGGCGTCAAGTAGATTGACCATGCATGTAGAATTTCCCCAGGCAACGCCGTCATCAGTTCGTAACGGATCAACTTCAGCGCAATTTAAATCCTTCAAGAAAGAAGCCCGTTAAGAACATGTACAATACAGACATTAAACGGATCAAGTCAGTCAAACAAGCCCAGCTTAGATAGCAATATTGCTGTATCATTATGTTCTAAAGGCAAATGTTCGGGGAAATCTATGATATGTGAAATATGGCGAATAGAAACATAGAATTACCGGGGTTGGTACACTAACATCAAGCGATTTTCATATACCTCACCCACTCTCAAAGCCCTTAACCTCCGATTTTAAGCTCTACAAATTTTTTTTCTGAAAACGGGAAAACGGTAAGAAAAATCTCAAACGCAAAAAAAGTATGCGCGATTTTCATTACAAAAAAATTCAACATCTAGGCCAATGGAATCATCTTCTCGTTTTAGGCCTGCGTATGTTTAGAAACACTTAATAGAAGCATTAGTTCAACCATGATATGATAAAAATACAAAATCACATCTGGGGTACAAAAAATGGAATCAGGTGGATTGACTCCGTATTTTCCATACAATCACGTATCTTTAGCTGAAAGACGCACCATTCGCTATTCGGTAAGAATATCAGTAGCCGTACATTATTAGAAGCCTAAGTCCCAAAAAACTGAACACCAGCCAAAAAAATATAATTTTGCATTCCAAAGTTTCCATGAAATTAACATTTTTGTCTCAATTTCGTGTAGTAGGATTCAAATGAGTAATGAAAAAAGATTTGGAGACTGTCAACATCTGTTATGTGAACGGATCTTCGGAATTGCATGTCGTTAAATAGAGCAGTTAACAAAAAAAAAAGGCACTGGAAGGAAGAATATGAGCAAAGCTGATTTTCAGGAATTTAGATTTCATTGAGAAGTTAATTTGACTACCGCCTTGAAATGATTGGAAAGTTTAATGAAAGAGTAAACATAAAGCTTATAATTTTAGTCTACTGGCCCCTAGAAGATTTTATGACTGGCAAAAGAAAGTGAAACTGAATTATTAATTTAGTCCCAAATTAGAAAAGTTTTAAATTGGTTTACCATGGAACTCAAACCGGCACATCAGGTAAGTAAACACTTTATTCATATAAATTACACTATCAGCGTGCAAGAGTGAGATACTAATATATTTTTCAACGAGATGTCATGCTATAATTGAGAGTGTCATGCAAATGCATTTAAAAATAATTTATCAAAATGAAACGAGACTGCCGCTTAAATTAATTAAATTATGTCAACATTTTGGTGCTTGCATTTTCATAAATTGATTTCATACCTTTTAGGCTGACGTGGGCTTAATGGACAACGGTTATTCGATAGAATTCCCTTACCTGAAAAAAAAGGAAATAAATGTCAATTCAAGATGTCAAAATAATATTTGCAGGATTATAGGGTCAATTATTGTACCCGTATATACTACGGAAGTCACGAAGTAAAAAAACACTCCCATTGCCAGCAAACAGGAACGTTTACCTAAAGTGAAAGCTTAAAATAACTTGCTTAAAGTTATTCTTTCCTCAATACGTACCTACATGCAAAGCTTATCCATACAAATGTAATAAAAGTTGATATAAAATTCATAATTTGTCCACACACTGCCGAGTTTCATCTGTTCAATAACATTTGGAAGCAAATACTCTATATTGAGTCTGTTTAGCTCTTATCAACGTACACAATATGAAAAATCCACCTTTTTCTTTGAGTTTTGAATTCTAATGGGATTTCTAAAATTCGCATTGGGGTCCGAGTGCAGTACCCTATACAAAGTTGAAAATTTGAAAAAGAAAGCAGTATGCTGACAGCCCTGTTTTTCTGGAACAAATGTTCTGATTGAAAAAGTAAGAGTTGAGAAGTGTCTGAGTAAGTCCATCAGAATGTAATTTCTTAGAAAAAATGGATACGCTATCAATGGAGAGATCTAATTGTTTTGTAAAAAATCAGCTCTTGTTAAGAAACTGTGGCTGCACACCACTAAAAATTCCCCCAAAAATCCTCGTAACATAGGGAGTGCTGAAATCTGGGGTTTTAACTTGATATGGGTTCGCCAATCTATTCAAAGCAATTTGGTTCAAAAAGCTTCGTAAACGTGGCTTTCACGTTTTACTTCAGTTTTAATTAGTTTCTCGATACCCTTGTCAGATTGGCAACATCTTAAATGAGTTTTACCAGAAATCCTCCTTGATTCCAACAATCTATTGAATGCCGATTTGGGTCTAATCACATGATGTGACAAAACTCGAGGCAAAACTAGTACTCGTCAAACAGGAATTAACCTCTTTAGGTTAATGCATAACTCAAGACGATGATCACGTTTACTGGAAACCTGCAGTCCCACCGTGTGCTGTGCACCATAGCTTAGAGCAGTACTGGTGATCACGGTATAAACGTGGTCACCTGATACTTTGAATAGAGTTGTTCAGTTTTCATTCGACCAAGCCTACACCATGCTGAGGAGTTGCCACGAAGTACTGCATGCATACGAGGGCGATAGAGAGAGAAACACGTATGTTAGAGCGAGAGTGAGCACTAAGGATAACGAGTCTGTGGACGTTTCATTCGCCATCTCGCTCCAAGGTGCGTATTTCTATCTCTACCTCACTCGTATATTTTTGTAACTTTCTGCTTTTCCTGTATAATAGCCACTAACTTTGTCACTCTTCTAAGATAATCTAATATCGGTTTGCGCTGCTTCATAACGAAGCCCTGTAGATATATTGTTGATGACAGATTGCTCAGTTGTAATAAAATTTATGACCGGGTTTAGTGATTGCCGACCTACTTGAGGTTACATAACATCCCTGGCTATTATGGAAGAGGGTATTGATAGTGATTGGTGGTAGCCTCGAGGGTAATCAAGTAGATACAAGCTGTCAGAGAACACAATCAATTTTACAGGGTGGCGCATCGAAAACGAAACAGACGCATTTACTGGCAGCTCAGTTTTTTTTTAAAACCGCTCAGAACCGTCGATTTTGTTTTCGAGGGGGACACAAGTTTGGCAAAAAATCACGTTAGCACGTGCAGCCCCCTAAGCGGGGGTGACACCACCCCCAAAATCTTAAATGAAAACGGGGGTCGAGTGATACCTTATTTTAAAGTTCTTTCAATTCCCTTTATAATGATATAAAATTAATGTACTTCAGTTCAGTAATTTTGAAGATTTATTGATTTAAAGGTTAAATAAAACTAATACTTCAACATTAGTGGAGATCAATACATTTGGCAGCGAAGTAATTTAAAAATGAAGAATGAACTGACCCGTTAGGCAAGTAAATGTTGAAAATGGCCACCATGACTCTCCATGCAATAATAAAGATTTTGATCAAAACGTTGCCGCACATTTTGCAATATTTGAGGAGTAATTTGAAGGCACTCATTCACAATTCTATGTCGCAGGTCTTCTAATGATGTTGGCTAAGTAGGATGGATTTTGCTTTTTAAACGACCCCACATAACGAAATCGAAAGGTGATAAATCTGGGGATCTTGGGGGCCATTCAATGGCACCTCTTTTACCAATCCATCGATCTGGAAACGTCTGATCTAGATATTGTCGAACACGTAATGCGTAATGTGGTGGGGCACCATCCTGTTGGAACATCAACCTATTCGCAATGTACCGCCCATCATTCTGATTTTCAATTATGGCTGTTAATGCAGGATCTATGGCGTCTTCCAGTAATTCCACATACATTTTACCGGTCAAATTTCCAGGTAAGAAAAAAGGACCAACTAAATGATCGCCAAAAATACCACTCCAAACATTTAATATTTGTGGCTGCTGTGTATGAACCTCATGATAAATTCTGGGATTAGAATCGGACCAATATCGGCAGTTATGACGATTTACTACGCCATTTAAGAAAAAGGAACATTCGTCGGAAAAGCAAGTGTTGAATAGAAAATGTTCATCGTTTATAATTCTTTCACTCATATCTTCACAAAATTGTAATCGCCGATCAAAATCGTCTTCATTAAATTATTGTACCAGGTGAATTTTAAACGGATGAAAACTATGGGCCTATACATATATTTCGATAATTTCAACTCTTTCTGCTGTGGACTATGCCATGGTTAATTTATGTAATAAAGCGTTACAAGTTATTTTAGCAACAAATTTTGGTCAAATCAATCGCAAACTCTGTACTAAATTCCTATTTAAAATAAGTACGAGATATTTCCTTATCTGTCTTCAAAAACTAACTTTTTGCCACAAAAAAATGCTCCAACAGCTATTTTCAACAACAAAATGATAAACAAACGATGGGCGTAGTGAAGAAAAGCATTTGCTTATTAAGTAAATTCTTTTAGCCAAATTTCTTCTGAAAGTAGTACAAACTAATCTGATGTACCTATTAAAGTCTACTTTAAGCTTCAAATCAATAAATCAATAAATCAAAACTACTGAACTGAAGTACATTAATTTTATATCATGATAAATGGAATTGAAAGACCTTTAAAATAAGGTATCACTCGACCCCCCTTTCCATTTAAGATTTTGGGGGTGGTGTCACCCCCGCTTAGGGAGCTGCACGTGCTAACGTGATTTTTTGCCAAACTTGTGTGTCCCTCGAAAATAAAATCGACGGGTCTGAGCGTTTTTTAAAAAAAACTGAGCTGCCAGTAAATGCGTCTGTTTCGTTTTCTATGCGCCATCCTGTATATTGTCTTTGAGGTGGTGACTTGGCGATCAATGATATAGGTTGGAAGAATGCTTAACATTGTTGATGGAATCTAAATACAACGCACTGTTAACTGGCATGTTGCTTGATCATTAAGTTGAGTTGTGCAAAGGCATACAAATAGCGTATACTGCCGTACTTAGGTAAAAGGCTGTAAAGTGTGAAAATCGTCTGAGTAAGAGTTCAAAATTCGGTAATTCTCAAGTTACAGACATGATTAGCGAACAGACATACCGGGACAGACCGACGGTAATAAGTGACATTTTTTTTCCTGATGTACTCGTCATATAACATCTAAAAAACACAATATGTCATTTTCGTAAATTTTCTCGATTACAGTACAATAAGCAAAAGCAGTAACACGTGCTTTCATACTCTGTAAAACAAAATTTACTGCCTTTCACTTCCTAGTCCACTGCGGCGCAAAAAACAATACATTGACCATGCACGAAATGAACGATAACTCGCTGCAGGGATGCCGCGCTGGGTGCTGCCGCACTGGGTGCTGCCGCGCGGGACAACGTTACCAGATAGACAGTAACTACCGGTAGGGCAGGAAAAAATGTCTATGGACTAATTGTACCGGCCTAATTCAATGAATTAATTCGAGATTCAATAAGTGATGTTTTTATTTTTATTTTAGAGTATTTCTGAAGCTGAAGCATAAGCATTTTTTAATCGTGTTTATTGTCATTGTATCTACTTGTTACTTAATTTCTTTTTTATTGTTTTGGAGTATTACATATTTTAATATTCTCTTCTTCCTCCATTATTGAATCAGGAAAATTACATTCGAGGCGGCTGGAGAATGATGCTCATGATGTAATATCCGTTGGGACCCGAAAGCGAGGAGCCTCACAACACGTTCACTTTTTCAGGGGATCCCGATTTGGAGAAAATTTATGATCTGAAAGCATAACGGTCCAGGATTTTGAGCCATGGGACGCTTCAACCTTCGAGAATCCTAGGCTTTTGAGTAATCTAAAATAAAATCAAAACAAAAACAAGGGTTTCGAAATAGACATTTCGTTCAAATGTTGACGTGCTGTCAATAGTAGCCTACGGGCTACTCACGGAATCACAAGTGTAGCTGAGTTTCCGTAGGTACTGGATAAGGAGATTAACACTATTAAAGGGGAAGTTTTATGAGACCAACTATCTATTGACGAACCGGACCAACTGCACGGTGTAAATCTACCCAATTACTGCTGAACTTTTGTTCTGCAAGGTCAGCAAGAGCTATGACAGGTCGATATTTATTTACAAGTATAGTATGTAATTCAAAATTATCTGCACCTCGCTGAACTGGAATTTGAAAATATTGTCTAAACAGCATTTGACCTAAATCGTCGTAGTGATTTCGGATAAGCCGATAAAAACCCCATATATCAGTTCGATTAAACGCGTTCCCATATCACGTGTCTGGTTATCGATCGCGGTGACGAAGTCGAAGCAAACTGCTCTGTGTGATGTCAAACAATGTGATCGTCGTCTATTCCGCATCCCACACCAGCAATCATCCCCAACACTTATCATCAACGACCCTTGTCTCCAGTTCCGCCAACGCCTTCAATTCGAGCTAATAAGCGGCTTACCGCAAAAAGTATAGGTTATCGATGTTGCCGTTTCCGTTAAAGATCAGACATTCATGCGGGTCGCTTCTTGAAAGATGGGACCAAGTAGGATGACTTTGCGCACAGCTTCATAGTTTTTTTTTGTGTATTTACAATGTGAGATGAACTTTTATCGTACATTTGATGAGATGAAATTTCATAGTACATGTGAGGCAAAGAGGAGTTACATTAATGATAAGGTCGAAGAAATGAATAACAAAAAATATTAATTACAGTGTTTTCATTTTATCTAGAACAATCGTTTTGATCAATAATCTGGAGTCAAGAGTTATCTGAAACCGAACATATGTTAATCCACGAATTGGCATCAGTGATGTCAGTCGTGGTTATGATAAGATATTTGAGGTTATTGTAACTATAGCAGCGGTGATAGATATCTAATTGCTTTTAGAGAATAATCCAAATTTTCCACAAATTTTTTGTAGACTACACTTTATATGCATATTATCATTTTAAAAACCTTTCTGGTAACATTTCAATAGCTCAGATTATTTCTTTCTAGCACGGGCTGTCAGACTATAAAAATATGCGAAGACTCTTAGGATCTGCAATCTGTGCAGGTGCCCTATGAAGGCTGTTCGGTGTCAGTGATAACTTCACGACAAATATATGTCCGTTTTCGAGGGAAACTTTTAAGCTACTATAGCTTAAACATATACTATTTCGATTATAGACTATTTTATATGGAATCCTTTGAAGAGGAATGAGGAAAATTCCCGATTATAGAGAAACATAAGGACTTTACCATTATGCAGATACTTATAAAATAAGTGGCACAACATAATTGGAAAAAATGTCAAAGAGGGAAAAAAGTTTTTAGTGAATAATCATATATTGACATTTATACACTGAAGAAAATTTGGCAACAATGTGCGCTACTTCCAGATATTTTATCGCTCATAAGGTCTGTGAAAAAAATGAAAAAACCTTGTCAGCTGGAACATAAAAGAGAAAAACGCACTCCGGGAAAGCATAAATGAGGCCATATTTTTTTCTACATTTTTGCCCTTTTTCATCTTTACGCCGGTAGGGTGTAAATAGTACGCTTCGTCGTGGAAACGTAATGGAGGAACGTTTAATTTGATCTTCCCACGCCTGCCGTTTTCCATTACCCCTTCACGTAGAGTTCGTTCTATTTCTTGGAATGAATAAAGCATTCCTCGATTTCAGTCCAATGCGGCTCGATGCACTAGATATTTCAAATACCCGTACTCTACACCGTGTTTGGTCCTTGGCAATGCCTACGCATATGTATCCAATACATGTAGCTTTTCTTATAAAAGTAAGCAATAATAGCGACACGTGCTAAAACAACAGGGGTGTACAATTTTTCGCTAAACGAAGTTTCTAGGTAACTTCTTTAATAGGTAAAGCTACAGAGGCGTGGGATAATTTACCCAGAGAAAGACTTCCAGATTCTGCTGATTCTAATTCAAAAGTCGTATTTGAATACTCTTATGGAAGTCACAATATAGGTGGAGACGCGGCTTAAGGCAAAACAAGGATCAACGATCTTACTCCTTTGAGGATACGAGTGTTTCTTTGTTCTTGCATAGAACTCTCTGGCACTCTTGCATAGCAAATGCGTCGGTGTCAGGGAATTGCTCTAGAACAATTCATTGCAGCGACGAAGAACAAGCGAATATAAATAAATCAAGTTATCCCTGCAGGAGTCGGTCGGATCAGTAAACTTCTAGAATTGCGCCGACTTGTGAATTGTTCATGAAGAAATATCCACAGGAGTTCCTTTATTCAATACTTAATGACAGCGGCGGAGTTTTTTATAGACTTGCGAAGACAAATCCTTTGTTGTTCCTTCTAATATCCGTGTAAGCTCTATCTAATATTCAATTTTTTCTGCACGCTCTATAAATAATAGAGATGAATCGATCGCATACCCCCTATAGTATAATGAATGTTTTTTTCCTCGCAATTGCGGTCAGTTTTATATTATGTAGTATTCCTGTAGTGGGACTCTTCCATATTTTATATTGATAGTTAGTTAGTTGTCCCAGGATAAAATACCGTTATATGCACGAATGAACTTTATACTATCTTTGTACCGCTGTCTGTTTTGTGAGTGATCCATATACGATACTTCAACACATTGTGTCACCTCTCAATTTAACTTCAGTAGCGTATAAGAGTAATTTTTACCAAATACCGACTAAAATTAATTTAATTGTTAGCTAACTGCTTTTTACTCTGAATTGAGTTATTCTACTGATAACTTAAATTTTATTATAATTTTATTTTGAGTCATTAATTATGATTGTTCGACCATCTACTAGTGTAATATAAACTCTTTGTAATTAAAAATTATTTTCTACTTGTTAGTTCGGTTAGCTATAAAAGCGATTTGTTTTTAGTTTTTCTAAACTATTACTTATTTTTCATTTTTTAGTTCGATTGACCAATTTGTAGACATGTGGTATTGAAATATCTCACGAATCAATTCGTAATCTAATCATTTCATTTAAAGACTCACTGTTGCATAGGGTTTTCTTGTTAACTTAGAGCAATAAAGTTCTTCAATCCGAATACCGTCTAAAGATCTTACACGACTAAGGGCCAATTTCACCAACAACAGTCCGTCATTCTCCACCTATAGCGTAACAGACCGACAAATACAACGAATGAGCTTCAAGTTCCAATCCACAAATTTTAGCAACCAATAGCTATGAAATGTTGAAAACAAAATACTGTCAAAGTATGAGATGACAGCTTGTCATTGAAACATCTCCAGCTTATTGAGTATTAAGAAATTACATATAATTCACTCAAAATTTAAAGAAATGTTGGATTTTTGAATAAAATTCATGTTTTAATTACTATTGTTGATTTTTTATTTATGTTTATATCACTTTCTTCAATTAATATGCGATACTGGGTGGTTTTTTCCTATAAACCTCCTGCAGATAGCCATTAAGCACCTCCTTGATGACAGGCTCTACCAAAAGATATTGCTCGTTTCCAAACATTCATTCATTTACTTGCCGTTGATCAGAACGATGATGGTACCTTAGATTGATATTCCCACAAAGCCATTAAGGTTTTTAGATATCCATACATCCCTACAGTTGAATATTTTTCGTTGTTCAGGAACTGAACAAACAGAAACACTATATTCACAGCGATTAAGAAATTCCCAAATATATGCCTTAAAGCTACCAGCAAACCTAAAACCTGCAAAAAAACTACAAATTTGCCATATTTTTCTTTTTCCACGGGTACACATTCTAGATTATATTTATATTAGACATTATTTGAATACAGCTGATTATTGCATTTCAAGTAGTGACACATGTGTGGGATCTGTCAACTCTTGGTACCAGTCACAAAACATATACTCTGAAGGTTTAATTCCATGCTATTCAATGACAACACGGTGACTTGTGTGGTTGTCATCGGCCATTTTGTGAGGGTGCGACAGGGTTACCAGATTGTGCATTAATATCCCGTTTCACCCTCCTGGTCCCAGTGGAGTAAGTTCCGCCAACTGTTGAAATATACTCACTATGCTTTATAAGACTATTCGTGACATCTATCCCAAAATCATTGCAACAACACTTGAAAAAATGCAAATGAAAATTTAAAATTATTTCCATGACGCCGCAAAATAGATCCGTCGGGATGTTCGATACGATCCTATATTTGGAAGTATCAATACATTTCACGAGTATCGTCATCTTTCGATCCGGACTGTGTCAGAAAGAGTGACTGCCATTTGGCTGCGACATTACCCTGCCAAATCAGACATATCTTTCATGATTTTCAAAGGAATTGTACAAAATCTTCAAATTTGTGAAGTTAGCGAGTTTCACTTCATACGTTGTTACCAGACATGCCCAAAACATCAGTTGCTGCCGTGGTATTCATCCCGACCACTGCATCCCCACGGCTAGGCGACCTGTATGTTAAATTTGTATTGATAGGCCAGCGGGTTATGCTATAAATCATATGTCACAGTGTTTGTGCACTGATTGCAAGTGTTAGAAGTTTAGATGATAACAAAAATATTTTCATAAATAGGTGATCTTTCCCATTCCGGATCGAACAGTCTACCAAAGATGCTTATAATCATGATACCTAGTAAATTTTAACGAAAAAAATTCAAAACCAGCAAATGTAAAAGATTCATTTCGCACCCTCCACCACGGGACGAGATCGTCGTTAGACTTAACAACCCTGCGAGTGACAGATAGATATCCCCACCAGTCAAAAAGACAAACATTGCTAGTTTTTATGATTTTTGGACTTAAAAGACATTATTTGTGAAACATTTTTCATAATTTTTTGTCTATGTCCATAGTAAGTGCATTATGCATCAGGGAGATGTAGGGATTG